TTGATACAGTGTTTTTTTTTCATGCTACAAAACATTTGGGCAAAGTTTCATCTCTAAGAAAGAAAAAAAAAGAAACAATTTATGTTATTTAAAGTTCAAGAGATTTTCTGCATTCGACAGGTCGCACATTTTTAAGAACTGGAGGCAAATGTGAAATGGTCATCACAATATTGCTGTTTAGAACATACCACTCACAAAGGACAAGGGGTGAGTATTGGCATGGGTGTTGCAAACGATACGCGTCACAATACTTGGGTCACAATGCGCTATTATCACTATATTGCAATATCACTATATTGCCATATTTTTTCCAGCTATCAAATTAAATGTATAAATAAAAAAAAACAAGTTCTGTATATATTCAGAAGATATTGATCATTTAGATATTTTAGTATCCATGTTGATTGGGGGTTGAATCAGTCCACATCTTCCACAGTGTTTGCCTAAACTACAGATATGGCATCGTGCCGCACAGCAAAAGGGCTCCACATCTGCCAGAGTGGTGGTGGAGATTTAACCCATTTTCCCTCATTGTTTTTAGGTAAAAATGTTTGTACTAGGAACTAAAAGATTGATATTATTTTGGGCAGCTGAAATTCCTGATGTATCCGCAAATTCTTTCCCATACCTCTACAAAGGGCAGCTTGGTTTGTAATATTTGGTTAAGTCCAATGCAAGCAAATGTTTATTTTTTTTATATAACTTTTATTTTTCCTGGTAAGAAATCCGTTGTGATTTTGAAATCTGTTTCAGAAGGATGTCCTGGCCTATGAAGGACCAACTCTGCCATATTTAAAAATAAATACAGAAATAAATAAATGCTCAATAAATGTATAAGCATACAATTAATTGCCAACAAAAAAGTGAGACATATATGTATATAACTCTTAATTAGCTTCTTTATTTATTTGCCTTTGTAATATTTACCTTATATATTTTTCTGTCCTTTATAATCTTCAACTTTATTTTTTAATTACTTATATTTTTAAGTATTAATTTATGTGCATGTTATAATATTTCTGTCTGTTTTATTCTTCCTTTGTATTTTTTTTACCTTAGTTATTTCTTCGCCGCTGTTTATTTCTCTATGCCCTTTTTACATTTCTCTATGCATTTATGCCTCATTATGCAAATGAGGAGGGGGTGTGTCCTAGAGAGTCAACTTCTGCTCATTGGTTGGCTTGGCGGTCCATCTTCTTAACTCACAGAGCTCAGAGTACTAAGTTAAATGTTCTCTTTTCTGTTGCTGTTGTTCAATTAAAGTATGTTTTAAGATCATTTGAGGCGAGAACCTTATACTTTTAAGCATCACCATATGGCCCATTCACAGATTTAATGCGTAATTTAAAAGAAAATGTGACGAACTTGAGAGGACCGTGGCAACCAGCGGAGCTCCGAAGCTGACGGCAGCCAGGTCTATAGCCAGGCTATGATGGCGATTTTTTGTTGTATTTGGCAAAGTTTGGCAAAGTCCCTACTCAAGTTCTAATGACTTCAGACTCGACATCAGACTCTCCTCCTGTAGATTCGACCGATGTAGTAAAATGCTAACCAACACGCTTCACACACGGCTATTCCGAGAGAGGGCCGCTGCAGATGGGCTGTGGTTAGACCTGGCTGCCGTCAGCTTCGGAGCTTTGCTGGTTGCCACGGTCCTCTCAAGTTCGTCACATTTTCTTTTAAATTACGCATTAAATCTGTGAATGGGCCATATGGTGATGCTTAACAGTATAAGGTTCTCGCCTCAAATGATCTTAAAACGTACTTTTATTGAACAACAGCAACAGAAAAGAGAAAATTTAACTTAGTACTCTGAGCTCTGTGAGTTAAGAAGATGGACCGCCAAGCCAACCAATGAGCAGAAGTTGACTCTCTAGGACACACCCCCTCCTCATTTGCATAATGAGACAGAAATACATAGAGAAATGTAAAAATGGCAGAGAGAAATGTAAAAAGGGCATAGATTAATGTAAAAAGGGCATAGAGAAATGTAAAAAGGGCAGAGAGAAATGTAAAAAGGGCAGAGAGAAATAAACAGCGGCGAAGAAATAACTAAGGTAAAAAAATACAAAGGAAGAATAAAACAGACAAAAATATTATAACATGCACATAAATAAATACTTAAAAATATAAGTAATTAAAAAATAAAGTTGAAGATTATAAAGGACAGAAAAATAAATAAGGTAAATATTACAAAGGCAAATAAATAAAGAAGCTAATTAAGAGTTATATACATTTATGTCTCACTTTTTTGTTGGCAATTAATTGTATGCTTATACATTTATTGAGCATTTATTTATTTCTGTATTTATTTTTAAATATGGCAGAGTTGGTCCTTCATACTGGCCAAGATGTTCAAGTTGCAAACAAGTCATTACATGTACAGGGATACAGCACTGTAAATCATTACTTTGGCTTCATGTGACTTAATCTTCATTAGACAGAATGCTAAAGCTTACTTAGAGGTGGAGACATAGTGATGATTAAAGAGGAAGAAAAGAGAGAAAGTGTCAGAATAAATATTCTTGTCATAATTTCCAGCAACAGCATTGCAGTTCTTTTTTTCTGCCATCCTACAGGCCTTCAGAGAAAGTATATTTAATAAAGTTGGGTTAAGAGTTTTCCTAGTGGTTTTTAACCGTTATGACACTTTGCTTCTTCTAAACTTTAACATGTAGCAAAATAAAGAGCTGATTTTATATAAACTAAATAAAAACCTTTTATTTAAAAAAAAAAACGTATTTTAAACGTGTTTGAATAATGTTAAACAACCTTGCAGACAAATGCAGTTTATTCTGGAGAAGAACTGGCACTTCCTGTCTAACTTGTTCCTTTATGGTTTTAATCACTGTCAGTGAGTCAGTTGACATTTATTGACACAATGGATGATCTGCAGGTCTGACATGGCTGCAGCCATCTTCAAATTCAAAACCTGACACTCCTCTCTGGTCTCTTTGAGTAAAACTAAGCATTTAAAGATGGTCTTCAAAAAGAACAAAAGAAAGGGAAAAAAAAATCTTTCACTTCGTCTCCTGTATGCGAAGAGAGGGAGGTCTGGACTCACATCTGTTTCTTTAATCAGTCTTTGAACAAGTATCATCACTGCAAAGGAAAACCTCCTGAAACCATCTGAATGTAACCAAAGAGGAGAACACGTTCCAGATGGAGACATTTTTCATCCTGTTTTCATTTTTTTATCCCCTTTTGCTGCCATCTCTACAAAGATTCAAACAAACAAAAGGCTTTTCAGCACCAACTGGTACCCGAAGGCTCTGTGTTATTTATCCCACAGAGAGCCTGGTTCAATTCCCCTGGCATCTTCTGAAACAAGGAGAGCCACTCATGTTCAGTTATGAGGTTAAACTAAATTAAGAGGCTGCTGTGTCTCCTGTCTAAAACGGGACAAAAAGTTTACAAAGCAGCAGAGTGAAAGAGCCTGAGCAGAAAGGGGCTGTAATGAACCAAATCTAAATAATTATATAGCCAGGAGGTAAGTTGCACTCGCCAGTGAGTTCTCGACAAAAGGCTTTTGAAAGTATATGGGAAAAGACAGTGTTACACAACAGGGAGGAAAACACAAGCAACGAGAAACACATGGTTGGTGGCGCATGTATCTAGTTTCCAGTAGAAAAAAGGAGCCAGAAAGAAAAAAAGCAACAAGGTGGAAACATTCCTCCAACTCATAAAATCCGTCATCTAATATGCTGGCTTTTGTTCATTTCTTTTTAAACCAGACACTAAAGGCTGACCTGGGTGTTATTACCAGTAAATATGTTACAGAAATGTCCATATCTTATGGTCTTTTTTATTTTAACATTTTGTTACATTAAAACTATGCATTTTGTATGAGATGCAGAGGAAATGGAAAATGTGTGGAAGTAAATGCTCAGATGAGATGAGATAAACATTTTGATTTCTGGCCATCATGGAGAAAGCCATTTGTGGTTAACAGAAAAAAACACCAAAAAAAAGCTAAAGCCCGGCGTACACTGTTCGATTTTCTCTCGATCGGGCCGACTTTCAGCCTGATCGTGCGTCGTGTAGTGTACAGGGTGTACAGCGGCGATCAGCCTCTCACGACCACTTCCCCATCAGGAATCATGAGGTCAGGAGAAAATCAAACATGTTATATTTTTTCCAAACATATAAATCAAAAAACATGAAAATCAAATGTTTAATTTTCTGCCGACCGTCTGGGTAAATCGCTCAGTGAGCATGCGCGAATACAAGGATTCTTCTGTAAACACAGAAGTGTAGCATTGATGCAATGAGTGAAATGTAGTTCTGTCTGTAAAATTGACAGACCGTAGTAGCCACGTTGGCTCAGCCAATTCATTTTTCCAAATACGTTGACGCTTTTTCTTTTTAGGGCTTTTAGCACAAATTTGCACAAATTGCCAAGGCAGCGCGTTTCACTCTAGTGAGCTTAATAGTCCCCTTATTTTTGTTTGGCTTTCGGATAGATGAGTCAAAAAAGCTCCATCTCACTGCGGAGCCGAGTCCAACGTGCTTTTTAGTCGTGCAGTGTAAGCAGATAGATCGCATGAGAGCTACGGGCCGAACATAAATCTGCTGCTCACAACGACTGAAAAAAACCTCACAGTGTATGCCCGGCTTAAGAGATCACATCATTCCCATGGTGAGACACAGTAGTGGTAGGATCATGCTGCGGGATGCTTTTCTCTAAACGGGAAGCTGGTTAGAAGATGGATTAAACTAAATACGGAGAAGGTTCCCTCACCAAAAGGACAACAAAACTAAATGTATTACCAGAGCTTTAATTGAAGAGTCTAAATTACTTTGCTGGAATGGTCCAGTCAAAGTAAATATCTTAATCCAATTAAAAACTGCTGACAAGGCTTTAGAATTGCTGCTTGCTTTCAAATATGACTGTGCTGGAGGTTTTCCAGCTAATAGAGACATGACAGAATGTAAATTAAAAAAAAATTTGAGATTTCCCTCATTTAAATGCATTCAATATTAAAAGAATAAAAACTCACATTTAATATTGAAGGAGGCCGTGGTGGACAACAGAAGTTCTCCAGTAGCAGAATTTGACGCCCGGCAGCTGAAGTTTCCTGCATCCAGCTGTCGATCCACCGAGATGAACTTAAGGTTGCTCCCCTCTTGAAAGCGCCTCTCTGTGTTTTTCAGACGGCTGTCGTCTTTATACCAAATGTACGTGATGTTGGCGGGATCGCTGACTTCACAGCGCAGCATGGCGCTGCGGCCGTGCAAAGCATCCTGGGACTTGGGCTCCTTGGTGAACTGGAATGAAATGGCCTGAATGGACAGAACTAAAAAAAAAGAAAGAAAATGGAGAGGGAGAAAGATAGAGGAAAGTAAATGACAAGAGGATTAGGACTGGGCAGCTGTTAACATTTTATAGCTTTTTTCCATTCATTAAGCGTATGCCACAGCAACCACTTAGCCTTGTGGAAGAATGTGATGTTGAGACAATAATGACTTGGCGTAAATTATTATGTTGTAAAACCATCAGACTCAACATGGAGGACGGTTTTTACTTTCCTAGTCATGATGCTTTGGTTTGAGCGGATAACATCACAGTCGTGGATGAAATTAGATCAGGAGATGCGAAAAACAACCCGTGTTCTCCTGCTCTCTTAAAACTTATTTTTACTTCATGATCCTATAAACAGGTTCTGTCTCGGCTTCATTTACTCCTTTTAGCCACATCTAAAATTTAGATAATAGGGGTTGTGTGCAGTTTAGAGTAAACAGTTTTTGATTTGTACAATATTAAAAATAGCTGATCTCGAGATACATTGAGCAAAATGTATTATTAGTAGCATAATCCCATACAGAGAATTTCTATAATTAATAAAAGCTATTTTTATACGTTTAATGTGCTTACAAATTACTCAGAATACATGGGAACCTTTAATGCCGTCAATTTCTTAAGTATTCCTTAAAAAAGTAAGAAGAGGATAAAGTGCCAGTGGTTTTCATCAGACAGGAAATAGCCAAAAGAAAAGAGCTAACATCCTAAACTGCTAATATATGTAGTCAGAGCAACACTTTTTAGATGTCAAACAAGCAGAACTCTAATAAACAACGTTACATTAATGCATAAGGAGAATCAAGGAAAGAGGAGCAAAAAAAAAAAAAAAGTTAAAAAGTTGACCATATCATAACAATAAGGATACCAGAAAAAACTGCCTTTTCTCTCCTACCATCACAAACATAAACCAGGAGAGCTTGCTAGGCCCAAATATGATTTTTACTGCAACAAAGCTTTGGTCAGACTATGAAAACATCACTAAAAGATGCATGAGGTCCACGCAAACAGATTAAAGAGTCCTGCATACTAACAAAGTCCAACATTTTTTTCAGTCTTCATATTCAAGCATACCCATCCCTACATTTCTCACGAAAAATACGTTCATTTTCCACACTTTCATTGTAATTTGGCACCTTTCACCATCTTTTCCCTCACAGAGCACCCGTTAGTGAGACCAACAGAGCAGCTGAGATGTTGTGGGTCTTTGCGACTAGTTGCTCTAAGCAGTGTGAAGCTGTCAGCTTTTGCCTAGCGAGTTTCATCGGCTCGGTTTCACAAATAAAACAGTTCAGTATGAATAATCGCTCTTGTTAGAGACATCACACATGTGGTTGTAAAACCTTTTTTTCTGTGCACCTTTCACACAGACATCCGAGGACATGTCTGCACAAGTAAAGAGGACTTTTAGTATAAAGATAAAAGCTCCTGAAGCCAATAAAGCTGTTATATGTGTTGTTATACTTAACAGGTTAGGGCTGGCAGTTAAATAGCTATATATCGCGATAATCATATCAACATAAAGTATGTCTGATAAAAACTTCAATCCTGGTATTGAGGGTGATGCTGTTAGAAGAAGGGATTCTAGCCTTTCCTCTCACTGCCAAACTAAGCAAAATTGGTGGTAAAGCTGACCTATTTTTAAAGGTTAAGGGTTTAAATCGGGTTAAGGTTACAATATAAACCTGGACCTCCATTGTCCTTATTTAAATAGGTAAAAACTAAATTCTAATCAGTAATCCTCATTATGAGCAAATATGAAAGGCTTATATGGTGAAACGTTTTTCAGCCAAATGACAGGTCATTGGGTAATACACTAGTGCTGTCCCATAAAGAAGGTAGAAAAAGAAATCAAGTTCACAGAAGAGAAAAAAAGGCATTTGCCTGATATAAAAACAACGAAGCACCAAGGAGTAGATGTAAACATTAAATTATGTAGCTTTTAAAACACTGATTCTCAAAAAAGAACAGTGAAATTGTCAATATTTTTGTCGCTGTAAGTGTTTTATTATGGGTGAGCCTACAGCTGAGCCATTTAAAAACAGAAGTTTAATCTGATGTCAAACAAAAAATGTAGGCTTGAAAAAAGGCTCTTGCATGGTGGAGTAACTGTGATGCTATGGGCTCATTTTAGCTGTGAACAAAGAGCATTTTAAGCTCTGGTGAACAGAGAGAATAACGCCCGAGTGGGTCGGCAGGATGGCAACAACAAAGCAATGGGTTAACAGAGAGGACTCACATTTAGAAGCCTTTATTTGCCAAATCCAAACATTCCTTAATAAATACTGGGTAAATTGAAAGAAAGATACTACTAAAAAGTACTTTTGCCCTTGGTTGCGTTTGGTAGAAGATGCTGTGCGCCTGTACCAGGACGTTACAATGCAAGCCATAATAGACTATTTGTTAAACCATGAGTTTCTAAGTACAAATCTGGTATCAACATTTTCTCCCCTTCAGACTTTGAAAGTGCAACGTTTGAAAAATGGGTTAAAAGAGGATCTGAAAGTGATACAGCCATCAGAACTTCAAAGAGAAGGTCTACTCTGCCTCAGAGCAGTGAAACGGCACAGATCCATCAGCTACATACCAAATTACTTACTGCAAAGCTTTTTACTTGGATGCTGACAAAGGCTGCAGTTTTGGCAAAATGAACACAAAGCAATTCCTTTTATCAAGTTCCTTTTATCAGATGAAAAGAATAAAATGGCACCACAAATATTTTATAATAAACTTTTCTTGTCGCTCCGACTACAATGCCTCTTGATGTTTGAGCAACCGCCAGAGGGAACTGCTCATTACTATAGTTTACACTGGAGGGATAAGCATAAACATCTAGTAGGAAGTGAAATGTTCTGATTAAACTGCACAAGAATAATGTCAAGGTTTGATTGATTATTCTAATAAAAGGAAGCAAACATTTTAACTGCAGAAAAGCAACTTGTTATGTAAAGAACATGAAAAGAATAATATAGATGCATATTTTCCTTTGTTTGCAAGCAATAAACAGCAAGGAAACTTGAATATGACTTAAAATAAAAGGATAAAAGGGGGCGCTCCTTAAGAACTTCTGTGACTCTGTTTTGGGATCAGCCATCTTTTTTGGAGCTGTCTGTTGGAGCACTAACTCATCTGTAGCTGGATAAGCGGATCAGGAAGGCCAGCTATGTGATTGGATGCCCCCTGGACTCAGTGCCGGAGCTGGGAAACACTAGGATCCTAACTAAATTAACAGCTCTGTTGGATAATGTCACCCACCCCATGCATGAAGCTGTTGCAGAAGTGGAGAGCTCCTTCAGTGACAGACTACTGCACCCTAAATTAAGGGTGTGCAAAATATTCGTCATGATGATGCATCGCGATTCTAATTTTTGTGATCTACTGCATCGATTCTTGAAGGCAAGAATCGATTATAAAAAAAAAAAAAAAAATGAACAAATAAAATACATGGATGGTTGGCGCACATCAGCCAAATCAAGTGGAATACAACTTCCAGTCCTGCAGATGTCGCTGCGGATGTGTTGACGCCCGCTGCCTTGTGTCACAAGCTTTTCCGGCCGCGGGATACTGAGACGAGTCATATGAAATAAAACATGGAGGACACTATGAAAATACGCCCCGCGGCTCCATCACATTTTAAGTCAGATGCTTGGATGCATTTTGGCTTTAAAAACAAAGAAGGTAAAAATGAAATTGATATGATGCACGTCATTTCCAAAAGGGGAAATGTCATACATTTGAATATTTTCGTTTCATTGGTTTAAAGGAGCACTGAGGCCATGTAAACGGCACTGATTATCCTTATTTTGTTATTTTAAGTTTGATGAATCCTAAGATCTTTTTGTCAGTAATAGTAATATTCTGTCCAGTATTTGTTTTCATGGCAACACCTCAAAAAGTTGTTTCAATAAATACAGCTATGTATGAATTCAGTTGCTTTCAGTTATGTATCGATTGAAGACACGATCCAGATCATACCCAGCCAGTCAGCCACTGGTAATGGCTGTATCTTTTTCTTACAGTGTTCAGTGAAAATATCGCAATGCATCGCAATATTTCAAGTATCATGATGCATCGTGATAGAATCGCATCGTGGCATGTGAATCATGATTTGAATCGATTGACTTCTTTGCCAATACCCACCCCTACCCTAAATGCACCAGGGAGCGTTATCACAAATCCTTCCTCCCAGCTGCTGTAAGACCCTATAACCACCACTGTTTCCAATAACCTTAATAAGTTTTTACATTTATGCTGATTTTGCACAGTTTCTATCTTAGTCAGTTAAATAACATGCTGCTGTCATTTTGCACATCTCTGATGTTGCCATTTTCAAATTTCATTACTGTAAAAATGTCCATAGCTGTATATTGGTTATCTATTCTCTAGGTGCAAAGTTGTTATATTGTTAAAACACTTTACAGTGCAATATTTTATTTATCTTTTAACTCTTCCCTATTATGTTATTCTTCTATTCTATTCCATTCTATTCCATTAGAGTAAACAATACAAACCACAAGAGTCAATAACGCTTGAGTGTATCCAATATAAAAATAACATTAAAGCCACAACATTTTTTTAGTAAAGATTTTTGGTATTTTATGTGATAAACCAACACAAGGGCTACAATAGGTTTAAATTTAAAGAAAAACGATACATATTTTTTTCATAATTCTAATAAAGGCTGTTGTACAATTCAGTCTCAAGTCAATAACCTATGGAAGCAGCTTATGCAGCTACTGCTGCTGGTCTTATCAGGTCCGTCTCTACCAGCTTTTCATATCAGATTGATGTCTTAATTTTATTGAGAAAAGTCTGAGCTCAGTAAAACTGAATTTAAAACAAACAAATGTCAATTTTCCACTCTTACCTTTTAAATTGGGTAAATTATTTTAAGTGAAGTCAGGAAAGACTAAGGTCTTATAAACCTTTCCACTGCTTAGACTGCTGCCTCCGCGACCCAGCCCCGGATAAAACAGAAGAATTGAATGAATGGATGCT